ACCGGCCTCTCCTCTACCATCATTCAACGCCAACATGGGAAAGCGCGCGGCAGCTGACCTGCGCGTCCCAGACGGTCCTGGGTGTCACTGACTCTGACGCAAATGCGACATTCTCCTGCAGCCAGAGAGAAGCGACGAAAGTACCTCTCACCGCAGCCGTCATCGCTGCTACACGCCGCTGGAGATTGGCCGCCCGGGTCGTTAACTCAGTCATGGCGGTGCTGACCATTCCGTTCTCTTCATTTATTGCCGCCCGCGCCGCTATAGTGTACGGCCAGGCTGCTGGAAACGAGCGGAACTTCAGCCTCCGGAAGATGCTAGCGGTAGCTGATCGAGGATGGTGGAATCCCTTCATCCTTGCCCGCCTGTTTTCTGCTGGAGGTCGGCGTCGACTGGGCAGTCCGCTCCTATATTATGCATTCCTCGTCTGTGCTTTAGGTATGGCATGTGAGGGTGATGTGTAGGCTCTGCTGACCAAGTCATTTAGGTGGTCTAAATTGGCCGTTGCAGCAGTTGCTCGTGTCAGAGGTGACCATATTGGTCGAGAGTTTACCCTCCAAGGTCACGCCGCTGATTTCTGACGCCGACATCACCGGATTGTCTCAAGTGAAGTCCATCGAGACGGTTGGGGATACGAGGTCATTGATCAACTACGCCACTCAGTACGACTCTCAGCCAAATATCTGGCGGACACCCGATTCAGTCTGCAATTCATCTATGAGCTGGGCATATTCCTGCGTGAGTAACTCGAACCAAGGCGGAATTGCTACGCAGTTCTATCCCCTCCGCGGTAACAGTTCATTTGTCTCCATCCCAGTCAACTCGGTCACAACGGGAATAATAAGCGATCATGCCTTTCGGTTCAATACGTCCGTCGCCTCAGAAGAGGTATCGGAAGAGGGCTATCCCGACAGCTGCGGTGGACCAGGGTCTTTCTCCGCGTCGACGCTTGCGAACCTTTCAGGTCTGGATGTTTCCTATAATGTCCCGATCTCGGCAGATGGCATGATGGAGGTAAAGGTGTGCGCGCTGGGAGACTCGCAGAGCTTTCCATGGAACCTTACTCGGAACCGCCAGGACATTGCCGAAGAAGCATACATTCACTTCAATTCAGTCGCCATGAGCTTCCTCACCAACGGATCTCGGATAGCCAGCTGGACACAGCGCATTCGTGCGAATACGACCGCGGGGTACTTCATGCTCCCTAACTACATGAACAACTACCAAACGGGTCCCTTGTTGGAGACGTTCGATCTTGCAGCTAGTTTTGATCCAGAGAATTTCATCGTTGACCAGGAGGAGAGTATGGATGTGCGAGCCTTGGATGACTCACATGTTCTAGGGTAAGAACTCATTTTTATCTTTTATGAGAGGTGCTACCGCGACACCAGCCAGGGTGCCTCCATACTAGGCTTGTTTTTGCCATACCCTGCCACCTACTTTCAAAGACAAGGTTGTTCTCTTCAAGTGGCAAGGTGGGGCCTAAGCGAGGCCTAGTGTGGAGATAGACTGACTGGTGTAGGAGTAGCGCTTCCCAGTTTGCTGTGATAATCTTCTCACATGGCCTAGATATGGTTATCCCGACCCCATGCCTGTCAGCTCACCAGCTCTTGGGCCTTTGCTCACAGCCACCAAGGCCCTCTTCGGCCCGTCCACGTTCTTCGCCAATCGTGCTAACTCGACACCGACTCTACCGAACATCACTTCCTTGTCGTTGGACGAGTGCTCCGAGCCTATTCCGTTCACTTACCTCTCGACCACTAACACTAAAGATACTACCTCCTGGCGATACGCTACTCTCAAGCCCTGTGCATCAGACACCAACTCCACATACTTCAACGACCTGGCTGCCTGGCTTGGTCAGCTCTTTGCAAATTACGACAATCCCCAGACAACATCTGTCTTTACCCAGGGCGCCTTCTTTGCCAACAAGGCTAACCTGGGCCGCGCCTCAACTGAGCAGGCCTACCGCCGGATCCTCTTCAAGGATGACGGAACCTCTGTCGAGATATTCGCGATACGACCATGGGCAATCGCATTTCTGTCGACCATCATTGGCCTGCATCTTGTCGGATTGGTGATCATGGCCTTCTACGCGGGATTGCATCCGACCTGGACGGAGTCATTTGATGCATTTGCGATGCTGAGAATCGGGGTGCAACTGGCGGAGCGAAAGGATGTGAGAGCTCAGATGCCGCTGCTGGGAAACGCGGAGTAAGTTACTTTCTGATTAGTGGGATTTCGCGACTAACATGAGTGGCTCTAGGACGGAAGACACTGCGATTCTGGACCGTACAGACGGAGTTATAGGGGAGGATATCGACGCAGTGGAGACTGAGAATGTCGGTCGGCTGGTAGTGGGTGGACACGGACAAGTGAAAAAAGGCAAACGCTACCTCGTGTTCCAGTAAGGATGCTCTGCCGGGATGAATTCAAGCTCTCCCATCATTAGAAGCATATCTATCACACCTTCGGAGATCCACTATGGGTGGCCTGATCGACAACAAAGCCGCGTGTCACTTTGGCTATTTGACTCAGTCATGCGCGGCCCAGTTATCCATCCAACCATCTGGATGTCATCATGTCCCTCGTCTTTCCCAAGACAAACCAAGACAGGCACTCAGTGCCTTCATTCAAGCGATACAAAGCACTGAACCCGAAATCCCTCCATGGATTGCAACACATGCACCAAACTTCGACAGAGCTTTGAAAGAGGCTGATTGGATAACTGCTGCATGGGAAGTAAAATATGATCACGCTAGGAAGGGATTAGTACGGTGTACGCCTATGCTTGAACGGAAGGATCATGATAACAAAGGCCTTCCCAACCATCCCATAAGAGAAATTCAATAGAACAAGATCTCCTATAATCCCCAAGCCACCGGATGCAATGCTCTCTCTAGGGACAAGCGAGGTCATAGTACCACCAATCAATTTGCATATAAGCCCCATATTCACTCAAACCTTTCTAAATCTGAGGTATCATACCCAATCCCTCATTGACCAACCCCTACAACTCCTCCACACTAGTGCTTACATCCCACCCCTTTCCGGCTAATTAATTCATGCAAGGCGTCTCCCTTAGACCCTTCTCTTCTGCAATCATCCATAATTCTTCTCTCTAAACCCTTTCTCCGTTCTTCTTACTCCTCAGAATATTTAAACTTTATAAGATCACTAATACCTTTTCTTCGCGTTAATAAATTATAAAGAAAACTAGTAAAATATACTACCCCCTCCAAAAAGTCGAAGAAAGAAGGAAAGGAAAAGGAAAAGGAACAGAAGCGCGAAGAGAACGCTAGAAAAGGAATTGAAACCGAAACCGAGCAATGAAAAAAAGGTTCCAGCCCCCACGATCCAGCGCATCCTCACCATGCATGTTCTCCACTAGGCGCCGCAGCAGGATCGATCCTACTCCGTATCCGTGTCCGAGGTTCCGTTCTCCGTGCCAACTCATCCTGATCGGCAGAAGATGAGACAGCCTCTCAGCCCGTCCTAGCTTTGCCACAGCCACAATTGTTCGTCCGGAATTTTTACTAGTGCATTGTGAAGAATACTTCGCGGATACTTATCTTACTTCTGGGAAATCCCTTTTTACTGCTTATTTTTTAGATCTTTTCCTTTGAAGGGTCCTCCCGCAAGACATTTCCGTCTTTTATGTGTTCTCATCCACCCAGTGCTTCTCCTAGAGGATGTATCATGTGCCTCCTCAAATCAGCATCTACATGCAATAACAATGGCCGCTCTTGGTGAGGATGGCGGCAATCTTGCGGGGATATCCCCATGTCGGAAATATAGTTGATGCCTGCAGATCGGTTTGCTCATATATTAGGAACGCCTTTATGACTAAATCCACTTCGACTTCAAGATCTGCTTTAGAAGTCATTTGTGTCAGAATTATGTCATACTCTAGTACGTAAGCGATACAACTCGATAGTATGACACGTTCTCGCCCCCTAATCAAAGCACGAGTATCCCTTGCATGATGCTGATAGTTACATCTGTCCGTTGCTTAAAAGAAGGATGGAATGCGACTGTGGAATGCTAATAAGGAAAAAGCACCCGACGCCACTGAATTGAGGAGGTCATACGATGCCGAAGAAATAGAATTTGAGGGTTGAGATGCGAGGGGCTTTGAGTTACTCTTCACGGACTTCATGGGTGATACTCGAATGTGGAAATGATTAGAAACACCCAAGGAGGAATTCCGTCAGACATCATACCAAAAGGTAGGACGAAGGACATGCTTACACAGAGTAGTAACGTAAAATATCCCCTATCCGTAGAGGAGTATATTGTATGGGCTGCACACATGAACAGAACCAACGACCTGCGCGTTGGTTAACAGCAATCAAATCCCGCAAACGGGTTAACATTGCAAGTCTCAGAGATAAGGCTTTCAGTATCCGCGCCATGAGCGGGTGTATCCTATCGCTCGTTATAACCCTCTATGGCCTTCTGCAAGGGGTACGACGCACCCCGCTCTTTCAAAGCGGGGTAGAAATGCAGCGAAGTTTGTTTATCATGTTCTCGCATAATGCTTCTGTCTAAAATTCTTCGACATGACTCACATGGAGAGTATAGTGGGGCTGTGTATTTTGCAAGACAAATGAACTGCCTATGGGCCGGTAGGAAAGGTTCTACGGAGCTGGATTTTATGATGAAGACTGGCCGTATATGAATTCAGCTTCTTTTTTGGAATATCAATTCTTACGACGTATTCATCATTACGAAAGATTAGCTATATCATTCGAGTCATCTAATTCACGCTTCTTGTAAGTGTACGTGTGTCCTGTACGTCCCTCCGGAACATAATAAGGAATGAGCTAGTCGATATTGGGCTGCAGTAGATTAAAATTCGGATGGTAGCACAGGGTAGTATTTGCAAATAGCATTCTTGGGGCCATCCTGCATGACGACTCTTCATAGCAATCTAGACCCTGCTACTAATCTCATAATTCGTCGGCAGTGGAGATGAAGAAGGGTCAGTTGAGAAGACACATCGCGAGACCCAAGTCACTTATGCGCTGCATCGAGCTGATTTGTTGCGCATTGTCCTCCACATGGCGCCTGCCCTGACAGTCTAGATGGTCTATGATACTACTACATCGATACGGTGTCTCAAATATGCAAACACATTGGCAAAACTAGGACGAACACCTGATATACCAGGCCAAGTGACGTATCTACATTCGGACAATATTCAAGGTTGAAAGGGTTATATAAACCATCAAAGACCGCGAGCTCCGTACTAATTTATTCTATCATCCCAAGAAATTGCCTGCATCTTATACAAACTCACATTATTATCAGACGAAGAATCCAGTCAGCCACAATGAACTTCTCACAAATCCTTGTCGTCCTCGCGACCATCGGTCTTGCCAGCGCTGCACCAGCCACTAGCGATGCCTCACAGTGCACTACAGCTCAAGCCAACTCATGCTGCACTAGCTTGACTAACGGCATCTTGAATGTGAACGTGCTTCCCGCACTTTGCGTTCGTAAGTTATCACACTACCCTATCTACCGTCCGTTTTGCTAAGATTTCATCAGCGCTTGTTGGAAATTGCAACAACCAGGCCGCCTGCTGCTCCACTAATGGAATTGTAAGTAGTATTGCAGGGTGGTTTATTAAGAACACGTACTCATGCATTACTTATAGGGTCTTCTCAACTGCCTGACCGTCCAGGTCTAGTCGAGATGATGACTAGATGCGTACAAATGTATCCGATTGGATATGACCATCAAGTAACATGAGGCCTACATTGAGGTTGTTGCTTCTTTGTTTTTCTTAATGCTTTGGAGGAAGTTATGACCACGATGCATCGTTGTATGGATACACTCTTTTGACACATAAATGGGCCCAGACCAATATCTGAATATAAGCTATATTCATCAAGTTACCCTCCAAAAACATCTATGATGCGCTCAACTGTAGAATCCTGATTAGGCAAACCCATGACTAGCCTTTGGCCCGAATACCACGGTCTTGCAGATATGGCAAGTATTAAGCTTCAACTCCTTGCAACTAGTCAGGAACCAGTGTTGGACAGGGTGGTTTGTCGCTCTTTATATGGGGTGATCTACGGCGACAGAATAATCAAACTTTTTGGAATATACAGATATCGATAGGCAAGCCTTCCTCAATGATAGTACCTGATACTCTGGCTTATGAACTATCCCACTTCGATGATGACACGACCCCACCATCCACTAGTATATCATTGCCTGTAACTAAAGACGACTTCGAACTAGCCAAAAATGCCACAGCACTCACAACATCCTGCGGCGTGCCCACACGACCAACAGGGCTCCTGGCAATACATTTCCCAGCTGGACCATTGATCTCTGCCAGCCTTTGTAGAAATTACTCCAGGGCCAATAGAATTTACTCTTGCCGCAACACGCCCCCACATTTAGCGGCAGCCTGGACGCGAAGTATATTTCCGCGCTCTGACAGACCATATGTCCGTGCAGGCCCATGGTGGTCGCTAGGGTCAATATTCAAAGGCGGGATGGTCTATTAAATGTTCCCTGAATGCTGTCGCAAGATGACGCTCGAGCTCCGATAGCAAGCCTGATCCCATGTGACCAGCCATACTGGCTATGCAGACCATGCTAGTTCCGGACTGCGCCACTTCGAAGAATGCATCGATAGCGTTGGCGGTGCCGAGGAGATCGACTTCAAGGATCTTTTGTGCACTGCCTGCGGATGGTGACAAGCCGGCTGTGTGGATACCTGCTTCGATGGGTCCTTGCGATGCAGCAGCCTGTGCAAAGCCGCTGACGGATGCATAGTTATAAACATCCACATGAAATGTATCTACCATGTAACCGTCGTCTGTCAAGGTTTCCTGTGCGGAGGAGAGGACTTCGTCAGAGAAGTCGGCGATACATAATTCTGGTTCTGTTTCAGCCTCGGGATGGGGTGTATGGTGCAGAAGAATTCGAATAGGATCATGCGATTTCAATATAATCTTTATATGTTTGGGCTGGATGTGGGCTCAGGGCAGGATCTCAAAAGAAGATCTCATTCAAGCCAAGATCCCTAAATTGGCTGGTATGGTCTTGTAAATATAAATGGCCAAATACTTCTGGGAAAAATGAGTGTGGACCCTGCATATTTGCAACTGGCTTCTTCAAGAGCGCATCTGTGGTGCCGATTGTCGATCCTCAATCCGAAGCCGAATACGAATAAGAGATGTACCCCGAAACGGCAAAGAGTCCGAATACGAACCCGAGCCCCTTTCATTTGACTTTATCCGCCTGTTGCATAAGAGAAGTGCATAAATATCCTCCATCCGACATCTTTCTGTCTGAACTTCCAAGATTCTTTCATTAGAGTAATTCTCCCGTTTTTGTTTTGTTGCTTTGATTTTCACCAATATGACTGTATCCATTTCCAATGCCCAATCTTCAGTCGCAAAGGGACGTGATGTCCGTACAACTTTAAACTATATAATCCCGCCTGGCCGTGAAGGATTAAAACCAATCGATGCCGATATACCCGAGGCTCAGCGCCGCTTTGCCAAACGTGAGGGTATCAACGATGTGAGAGACGTTATAATCAAGGATATTCGTGGTAAAGAGCACGAATTTACCTTAGATGTTCAAGGCTTTCAATACGTTAAACATGAGATTGAGGGGGTCACCAATTGGCATGACGCCGCTCAGATAAAACGAATAATTCAGCCCGCAACGGAAGAGCTGATTAAGCGACTGTAGGTGCTTCATGTACACTCAAGGATAAGCCCACAAAATGGACTTTGTTTCTCTGACCATATTTGCAGAACTGGCGCATCCGAAGTCGTTGTGTATCTCACACGCACAAGATTTGAGGGTAACCTAGCCGGGGACCAAATGAGCACCCCGAATTCTCCTTCGCATGGTGTTCATTCAGACATGACACGTGCATCTTGTCGGTCTGTTCTAAAGGATGTCCTTACTGAAGTTGAAATTGAGCGACTTCTAAACACTCCCTTCGTCGTTGTCAACGCTTGGAGGCCAATCAAAACAGTTCAAAGAGATCCTCTTGCGGTGTGTGATTGGCGATCTGTTGACCCTGCCACTGACATCGTCCCAGATCGCAGAATCATTTCCGACCATGTAGTTGAGTTTGGATTGCCTGTCTACAACGAAAAGCATGACTGGTATTACCTTAGCGAGCAGCAGCCGGATGAGCCGCTCATCTTTAAGCAGCTAGGCAGTGATCCTGCATCTAGCGTGACACTGCTTCACTCTGCATTTGTGGATCCTGAACATATCAATGGCCCTCCACGGGAGAGTATTGAGATGAAATGCTTTGCATTTTTTACTGAGAGGACTCTTTGAGCTGTTGGTTAGTTTCAGTTCCTCTTGCCGAATAGTTTGAGCGCAATTATCAATGTGTTTCCGGGTTCTAGATCCCGTCCAGAGCTAGACGTGCCGATCTGGCAAATCAGAGATCGCAGCATGCAACGAACACTGTAAATCGATGCATACGATACGTCCGTCTTGCATTCTAGATCTTCGCCCGCATAAACAATGTTGACATTTCAAAGTTTCAAGATGTGCAATCGAAATCTGCACTTCGCCTTAAGCGACGTGCCATAACCCATAGCCCGGACAGGCTAAACCTATCTGGGATCCCGACCATCCGCGATCATTTTGGGTCCCCGACGCAACCTTCTATATAAATCTCGAACTACTCTCCCCTGTATCCAAATATCTACAAATACCATTAATACTAACGGTCTTTATAACCTTTCAGAATGCCACCAAGCTCTTCCAACCATGCAATCGTCTACGGCGCATCAGGCTTAATCGGCTGGGCGCTAATCAACCAGCTTTTGAGCCATTATCCAGCCGCTGGGACATTTCGAAAGGTCACAGCTGTGACAAACAGACCCTTGAATCCTTCGGAAACATACTGGCCAGAGGCAGATACGAATCTGACCCAGCTGCAATTGGCTTCCGGCGTTGATCTTCGCAGCCAGGATCCGGATAGACTGGTGGAGTGGTTGAGAGAGGTTGTTGAGAATAGTGAAGGCGTAACTCATATCTATTACCTGGGTATAGTTATATTTCATCATGGTGGTTATATCGAGTTTGCTGACAATGAGCAGCCTTCGCCGCCATGGACGACGACCTGGAAGAAGTAGCGACAAATCGACGTATGCTGCAAAATGTCATTGATGCGCATAATTTGATCAGTCCGAATTTACAGTTCGTTGCTTTTGTGGGTGGAACCAGGGTTAGTACTTACTATTCATGCAACTTGTGGACGAATCACCCCTGACCAGAAATTGACCAGGGATATGGCATCTATTCAGCCGGCGGAACGTTCACTCCACCTCTACGCGAAGAACTGGTGAACAGCCTCCCATCAGATTACGCCAAGACAGTGGTCTATCCAGCATATCGCGAACTTCTTAGTACATCCAGTAAGGGAAGGAAATGGACTTGGTGCGAAGTGTGTCCGGACGCAATTGTCTGTTCTTCCTTCATCTTTCCTGACGTTTCCCTGACGTATGAAATGACTAACCGTAATAACAGGTTGGGTTCACTCCAAACGGATCACAATTCAGCTTAGCATTGCACTGGGCACAATACCTATCTCTATATGCCTACAACCACGGCATTGGACCACATACCATGGGACAAGAGGAAACCGTCAAGGCATCTGTGAAGGTCCCCTTCCCGGGATCCACGGCTGGTGCTACGTCACTATTCAGCCCCGTATCCAGCAACCGACTTGCGCGCTTCATGATTTTCGCGTCGTTACATCCAGAGATGTGCGGGGGTGGTCGGTTATTCAACGTCGCTGACCGGGCGACACCGTGTACATACGGATCGCTCTGGCCTCGGCTGGCTAAATGGTTTGGTCTCGTGGGCGTGCCACCTAGTGAATCTGCTCCTGAGACGGAACAGAATACGTTGAAAGTTGGGGAAGTCCCTGAGCGGGCTTCGGTACTCGCACCTGGGGAGTATATAACTAAATATCGGGACATCTTTACCCAAAACGGGTGTCCGAAAGCTGTTACTGGCGGGGTCGGAGTGGGGTATCGCCAGTTGGATAGTGTCGGGTATTGGTTGACTTTCGATCGGCAGTTAGGTCTGGAAAAGCTCCAGAAAACTGGCTTTGAGGGGGATCAGGATCCGGTAGAGGGCTGGTTGGAAAGTTTTGCGATGTTTCGAAGAGCGGGGTTAATTTTGTGATTATGTGCCGAGGATATACTATAGATGAGAAAATATGCCCGCAACACCGGCTAGCATAGATGATATCACACCCTATGTACAGCCCCCGGCTGGAACAATATCTAAGTAGTAGGCAGTAGGTTCTCTGTCTGTACGAAAAGTAACCCCGACTTTATATCGACGAGACCTTGCCTTCTAAAAGCAGGCGCCTCCACGAGGACCCGGAAGGATCGTTAAAAGATCAACTGATACCAGCAGTACCAGTAGGTTAACACATCCTAGGTATTCTTTTGAAATTCCAGTATTTCTTACTAGATTTAAAAATTGCGTCGAAATAATGTCAAAAGGGTTATGGATATCCCGTGCAAAGTGCGCACTGTGTGAGTGCCTGAGGCATGAACAGTTCCCGCCTCAGGCAGCAATACTCTAAGAGTGGGGGTGGCAGGCACAACCAACAAAAATAACAAGGCTAAAGATGCTAAGGTCTCGGCATAGATACTGTTGAGGATAGTGATAGGCGATTTGCAACTGCGATAAGATGACTACCTTGAAGGCCAGAATAAACGGATACTTGAATGCAACGTCAGTCCTCTTCGAAGCACAACGGCCGAGCTCTCTGAGAACGAACGTGGAGAGATGTTCTTGTTTCTATATCCATGTGTCATACGAACAGATGGCACGAGGGGGAATCCCCAATAGGGAGTGCGCACGCGACAGCATGCCTTGAGTTCGATCTGCGATATGCTAGTGCTAAATTGCCCTAGCCGCTTTTGCTCGGGGTCCGTTCAAGCCCGGTGATTTTGTTGACATGGTGGACCTGGGTCGGGTTCGAATGTCTTGAAAGAGCGCATGGACAAACGTTTGTCCAATTGTATGCAAGCTGAAGCTAATCAGTGTTCCACTGTATGTCTACACTAGTAAGACGCTCATGAACATCCAATTGTTGAAGGGTTCTCGAGGCAGTCTCTGTTACCTTCTCCGGATATGGAGTAGATGCCGAGATGTTGGTGCAGAAAATAGTCACATGTGCATATCTTATAACCAGTGGGAATAGAGCAGCAGTTGAAAGGATTGTGTTCTTTGATACTCCTCTCCTTGACTAACAACATCTCCGGAGTCCGCCGGGTTGCGACCGGGCTGGATGAGGGTATCAATCTTCCATTTTTGCGCGTTTTATCTCCGCCAGATGAGAGTGGCGGGCACGTGGGATAAGCCGGGTCACATCCACCGATCCGTGAAGCTTGGTGAGCTTGGTCGAGGGCGAATACCACAAGGCTGTCTCATTCAAGGCTGAACAGATGGTGTAATTGTGCAAGTCATTCAGCGTCCAGCAGGCACGCCCAGGGGACAGCCATTGCGATTGGGTAGGGTGGAAGGGGTGTTGCGAGAAGCCCCGAAATTGAAGCCTTGAAAATTGGTGGAGAGAGACTCCACTACGATCCAGTCCGAGTGGATCAATGGATGAAGTCCCCACTTGGTTATCCATCGATTGTCACTCGCTCCTCCTGCCGGCAGGAACGTGAAGTCAACCCCATTTCTGACTGGCCGGCGGGGTTAAGGTACTGCTAGTCCGTCCCTGGTAGATAGTAGGAAGTAGGTACTAGATAATATTCCGCCACGGTCGCATCGGCCGATATGCCGCCCAGTGTGCACGAGGCACTTACAAGTTAAAAGGACAGTATGCCCTGAAACTTGCTGTTGAAGTCCAGGCACATTTTCTCGCGGTTGTTGAGCACCTCTTCCAATGGCTTCCGTAACTGCGCTCCTCACTCTGGCCGGGCTGGCCGCTGGCGCCACCATCACCACCACCGAGCCTCCGCTTGCTGCTATTCAGAGGGCTCAGGCGACCACGTTGCCCCAGACCTGGACTTCCAATGTCACTGGCAAGTCCTTCGACCGTTTCTACCAGATCTGGTTGGAGAATGTCGTAAGTATCCATGTGTTGTCCAATGGTAGGTCGTAATACTCATACTTAGTCATAGGACTATGTTAATGCTGCCAATGATACCAACCAGCAGTGGCTGGCTAGCAAGGGTATTACTCTGGTCAACTACTATGGTGTTGGCCACACCTCGCAGCCCAATTACTGTGCCTCGGTGAGCGGAGACAACTATGGCATGGACAACGGTAGGGCTAATTCATCCCTGAAGCCGACCCAATGCTAATCATCCCCGGCAGACAACTTCCATGACATTCCTTCCAATGTCTCGACACTGGCGGATCTGCTCAACCCCAAGGGTATCTCCTGGGCACACTACCAGGAGCACTTGCCTTACCCCGGGTTCCAAGGGTACAACTACTCAAATCAGAAAACCGGCGCGAATGACTACATGCGCAAGCACGACCCGTTGGTCATGTTTGACAAAATTTCGAGCAATGACACTGCTTTGCGCCTCATCAAGAACTTTACTAGCTTTGAAGAGGACATGAAGAACGAAGTGCTCCCTCAGTGGGCTTTCATCACTCCCAGTGCGTTTCCCCCAATACCTCACATGCTGTACATCCTAACCTTAGTCAGACATGACCAACGACGCCCACGATACCAACATCACGTTCGGTTCCAAGTGGCTGCGCAGCTTCGTTGAGCCTCTCATGAACAACACCTACTTCTGGGACAACACTCTGCTGCTGTTGACCTTCGATGAGACCGAGACCTACGGTGTTCCCGAGTCGGAGATTTACAACGACCGCAACCGCGTCTTCAGCATTCTCCTCGGTGGTGCTGTCCCCGAGCACCTTATCGGTACCAAGGATGAGACCGTCTACACTCACTACTCCACCCTGGCCACTGTCGAGGCGAACTGGGGACTTCCTTCCCTGGGTCGCTGGGACTGCGGTGCCAACATCTTCAGCTTCGTCGCCGACAAGGTCGGCTACACGAACTGGGACGTTGATCCAACCCACCTCTACATCAACCAGTCTCTGCCTGGTCCCCTGGAGCAATGGGGCTACTCCAAGTATCGCGCTAACTGGCCCATCCCTACTACCAACGACACCTGCTCTGCCGGAAACGGTATCTTGCAGTCCGTCATTGACGCCTACAAGGGCCAGAACCCGACTTACAACTACACTGCTCCCTTCCCGTACGACGCTTCGTACGGCCTGGATGTGAACATTCCCTACAGCCGTAACGGCACTACCTACGTCTCTGGTGTCAACACCACCGGTGTCGTTGGTTATGATACCAACTCTACTACCTCTTCCTCATCCAGCTCGGCATCGTCTTCCGCTGCCGTCAGCGCTGGCTCTGCCATGACCATGCCTGCTGCTGGCTCGCTTGTTGCCATCTTTGCCGCCGTCGTGGCTTTGTTGTAAATGCATCGTGGGAGGTGGTGTTGACTCAGTGTCGACAAAAGAATCTTTGTTAATAGTTTGTTGATTTGTTCCATTTCTACTACGAGCCATGAGTGATGTTAGATGCCATCTTTGGATTTTGATATGACTCAATGCTATGTATATACACTACCCTGAATGAAAACCCGCAACTCGTTAGTCAGTTGCTGGACATACGTTTTACATGACTCAGATACCCAATAGTCTATACAAACACAAAACCGGTGGCAGATCCAGTAAGGACAAGAAACATAACAGAAGTAAGTTCCTGAGCAACGAGCCAAGCACCATAGGACGCCTAATCTGACATGCGTACGGCCACCACATCCATACCGAGCAGCATTGCTAACTACCGGATATCGTTTGCCTTACACTACCAATAGGAACTTTGGAAAACTTTCCTTAGCATGAAACTATTTACCCTATCATGCATAACCCTCCTTGTGATTGCACTTGTTTTACTTTCCCTCAGACATGCATATCTAGTTGCAAGCCACTCAATCTTACTGGCATTAATCGTGCAGGAACACGAAGAGTGGTGTGGAGATACCAAATTAGGTCTGCTCTGCTACGGTCTTTTAACCACAAGCTGAGCCAAATCTTTCTGGGTAGCAGTGTATTTAAGTGGCAGCATCACACCTCCTAATTAGTTTCTCGAATCCCTCCCCGCCTCACTCTTCCTCCACACTTTCATCGTATCACCACGCCTACTACGCCCATCATGTCCAGCCGCTCCGCCATCTCCAAGGTACATTCCCACCTCCACATTCTTACCAACGCTTGTACCTAACTACAGCCACCCAATACTGCAGCTCTCCCTCTCTACTATAACTACCCTCCTCCTCCTATCCACCCCACCAACAACAGCCTACTTCTACAAATACCCCGCCCTCTTCGTCTACAAAGACACCAACTGCACCGAAATCTCCTTCTCACTGGTTTACCCCAGCCTGGGGGACTGCAATGGCGGGTACTATGACTACGCGGGCTCGTTCCAGATGTTCAATATTGATGCCGCGTATACCTGTAACGCCAGCGACACGACGCTTACATTAGAAATGTATAATAGTTCTGGCACGGAGTGTGGTGATGAAAGTGACCTGTTGTTTAGACAGCCGGTGACGGAGGAGTGTACTGTTGCGGATGTGGAGAGTCCTGGGCCGTTGGAGATGCCGGTTTGGTTTGAGTTGGGGTGTATGTAATGAAAATTGTTTGGGGGAGGAGGGGTGGATGTTAATCTCATTTTTGTACATACAATGATGAGTTGGTACGGGTGAAGTCTCTTTCTTTCCGCCCGGATATTTATATACGTCGCTGTATGGAGGGTTAGTTGCTCGTAGATGACTGCCGACGCATGTACGATCATGACAACAGGCACAATTTTGTCTAATCAAAAAATAATCAAATTAGGCTCCGTCCACAAACAAATCAGAAGTAACAATAAAAAGTAAAAATTTTAAGGAAAATACATACAACAGAAGGGATTCGCTGGTGGTCACCCACCCAACTACTAACCTCCCGGCGTGTGGCTTAAGTACGGCTGAACGGACGGGAAGCCCTGTTTTCCACACCCTGTGGTCGTATGTACTATATAAATGAAAAAAGACGACTATATTGAGTAGAAAACCAACCTCTTCTTTCATAAAATTCTAATGATCATGGTGGGTTTCATTCAGTTCTCAGACCAGAGTGTAGTGTGATCTCCTGTCTAGCCCTGGAGCTCAGCAATTTTCAATGCTTGATTGTGTTGTTCGGAAGATTCTCCAGGGCACGGAGTCGAAGGGTCTCGTACTTACCGCCCGAATTAGGTCTTGCATGCCTTTCCCTCCATGAACTTCCATTTATGGAAGAGTCACCATGAAAACATAGGACTTCCTTCTACTTGGATAGCCGCACGATTCGGTCAAAGTGCCTCATGCTCCATTGGATATATACTGTAATTTCTTTTGAAAGGCCGGGATAGCACTACAAGAAACGCCGGTCTCGCATTTATCAAAGATCCTAAGCCTGCATGCACACATGGGTAAATCTCAACTCCATTTTCGGAATCTACGTCCTACGTGCTGTACTAGATAGGCTGACATGATCTTCAACATCCGGAAAGAATTGTCGCTGAAAGTTGTCCGATGTTGGTACAAACTTGAACACTGGTCTCACGAAGAATATACCAGTCATCATACCTTAGTTCTGAAACTGCCTACCCTTAAAGGAACGTCTTGATATAATCCTCGCCAGCCTCTACCTGGGCCTTCAACCGTTATGATGACCCGGACTCATCACACATTCGATACCAGTTTTCTGGATCGTCATCGCCCAAGCACTCCGAACCGTAACCGCTATTGATCATAAGCAACTTACTATATCATGCCGTTTTGAGATAAATATCGGACAAGGGACACCATACCTTTGATACCATTATCCTGGAGATGTTGCAACATCATCTCAGTCAATTCCTCCACAGTCATCTGCACAGGATCATGAGCTAGGAGAAGCGAGTGCCCTTCTTCCACCCCATTCTTGAAGCGTTTGAAAGTTCCCTTGGCCGTAGCATTTTCCTCGGTGTCACCAATGATCAGGTCCGTGACGATGACATGATAATCTTGGAGGATCTCCAGAACATTATCATCATATGCCATATAGGGTGGCCTCATATACGTCGGGCTGCGTTGAATGAGCTCGCACAATTTCTCATCAAGTGTGTCCATCTCGCGCCGGATGTCAGCTTCGAATGCTTCATCCAAGCGTAGCTTATGGTCCCAACTAGTAAGTAAGTTAGTTCTGATGTTAACAGCTCTGGGAGACCTTCACTGAGGTATGAGACCCAATTTGGTGTCCTGCTTCTATCTCCCGTTGTAAGAGCGGTGCGTAATCCTCGATGTTACCACGATTTCTGCCATTCACGAAGAATGTAGCTTTTGCATCATATTTATCAAGGATGCCTAGGAGTTCCTGGGTGTAAGCGTACGGTCCGTCGTCAAAGGCGAGGGCAAATGTGTCTTCCGCAGTGCAGCTTAGGATAGCCGTCTTATCATAGGGGAGGGAAGAGGCACCAACGCTCGGGGAGGGAAGAGGCACCAACGCTCTGGGAGCGAGGAGAAACTTGATGTGCTCGGGTGGTCACTGAGAGTCCAGCCAACGCACCAAGCGTAAGAAGTGAGCTAATTCCCGTTGCAATCATGGCTTCTTGTGGATATGTAGTAGTGTGTTGTTAAGAGGAGGTTTATTTTTGTTATGGATAGCTCGAGACAGAGGGAAGTCCATCACAGGCTCTCCGGGAAACTGGGAAGCCATCCTTTTGTATCTCAGTTATATCAACTACCATTTACAGTCTTCCATATTCAGCGGCTATGGAGTAGCTGATGTTTCGTTCGTTGGCATACTGTAGCACGTCATGATGATCCGCAACACATCACCAGAGACATACAGTTGTGTTTTATGGCGATATAATCACAATCCACTGCAGGGCTTAGTGTATTGGAAGAGCCAAGGTTTGATCCTGTATCTACCTACCTTTCTGGTTGGTTGGCCGATAGTGTCATCGAGCAGCTGTCCCATGGATGTGATCGATCTGGTGTGACAACGTAGCACGTGACTCGATAGAACGCATGCCTAAATTTGATGTCTGGGATTTTTTCGCCACGCGACGGTTCCGCACTAGTAAACACCTTTGATCATTAATTTCGAAACCGTATCCAAGCAAGCATTCTGTCAAGAACCTCGTAATACCACTGTTGCATGCGGTCAAGTGTACGTTAAGCGGGACGCAATAGTCTTTGGTAGTTGAAGGGTCTCTTAGGTAAGTCGCTGCATTCAGCTTGATGGGCCTGTGATTGCTCGTCGTATCTGGTCGCAGCTACAGTGGCCATGGTTGAAGAAGATCTTAGTGGCTCTAGACCCTTCGGACGTTGCAGGAACTATATCCGAACCATGAAGAACAATGTGCTTGTCGTAGGACGAACAGCCAATCTCTCAGGGATGCTCGATCCATGGAAACTATACAAATGGAAGTTTCAAACAGTGTGAGGGGTTCTATTTCTTACAGGTTGTAGCAGACGCGGCAAACCGGCGGGCGCCGCGGACCCTGAGAACGTTGGCTGAAATCGATAAATATTGACTTGGAGCTGATCCCTGACGGAGCTTGGCGTTCTAATGTAAGGTAATATTCCCATCGGCCAAGTATAGGTAGCACTGTACTTGACTTGGTGGAGCGTTGCAATGGTACAATATGAGCCAAAAGGTGACGACTTGATTGGGACATCATCTGGCAAAACGACTTCGGTGAATCGCAATTCAAATGAACATCTGGTAGTTACACTAAACTATGGTTCTGCTTTCGTCTGGTGCTGATTAAACAACAATATCTATGATGCGGCATTACGCTTGATTGGGGTCTACTATGTTATAGCCCATCATAGTGTACAAGTTTCGCAAAGAATAGTTGCTGCCTATTTATTGGCAGGAACACCTCTTATACGCGTCATGATATTTGAAGTCACCAATACTTGCCTCAAAAGGTAATCTATTGCGTGCTGAGCTCTCGTAAGCCCGTCTGAAAACAGCAAGACGCCACTGTGAGTGACAAGATGGTTAAGTTAAACCAGGCAATTGATGTGAACAATACTCTTCAACTAAGTCATGAAGTCATGAACATGAATACTGACTAACCCTTGCAATGGCAATAAATGCCCAAGTATAAAGAGGACCTGCCCTCTCAGCCCTCTCAACCCTCTCAGCCCTCTATTCCTAATCCAACTCTATCAAAACACATGATAGCAACACTTGCATTACTTGAGCACAATGTCTGACTCAGTGGGTCACCGGATCAAGGATGACAGCCTTGAGGGAAAGAGCCTCCTTCACTATAAGGGCCTTAGAAGTGACGACACCTGGACGGACGATCAGAAAATTGATCTGGACAACTACTTCGGAGACTCGGACGGTAGGATTTACCCAATATAGTAGGGACTGCAGACTCATAGGCTGACAATATCAGGATGGTTCACGACCGAGCATGGGTATGCCGAGAGGGCTAAAGATGCAGATGAGATACGTGAATATGTTACAGCAACACGTCCGAGTGAGCCCAAACTTCAGGCACATCTATATAGAGATGACAACATCAACACCAGATTCCAGGGTGTTATACTTGACGACTATTTTGAAGTTGACGATGATGGAATACAATTATAGTTTTAAGATCTCTAGATTTTCTAAATTATTAATAAATTTATAAATATTTTCCTAGAATATAAATAAATTAAAAATAATCTAACTAAGCCGGCTTCTATTCTATAGAAAAATATTATTTATAATAAATAAATAAATAAGTTTATACTTTATTAATCCAGATTAGAAGAATTAAGAGATATTATTAAATTTTGAATTTTTAAATATAATTTATATAGAAAATAATTTAATTTATATAATTTCTAAATTTCATGAATAATAAAGTTTTATTAATTGTATTTTTACTATTATTACAGATAATATATAATAATATTACTTTAATAACTTAAGTTTAAAAATATATTGAAAAAGAGATTTTAAAATATTCTTTATAATATCTTCAAGAATTGATTATATTAAAATATTTATAATTTTTAATATAAATTTTTTTATTCAGGCAGAAAATAATAATTTTAAAATTATATAAAATAAAAAAAATATCTCTTAGATCTTAAAATAAACTTTCTATTATAATTTTAAAAATATATTTTAACTTAAGTTAAAAAGTTCTTTAATACTATAATTAATAATATATAAATTTATGAATTTTATATAATAAAAAATTATTTAAAAATTATTTAAAAATCTTACAGAGCTTCTATTATATCAGGACTATTAAATTGTGATAGAATAACCCAGCTATCCGGATAAAAGTGTGATAGGATCTACTTGTCAAGGTAGAAAGCCTGTCAACTAGGTAGAAAATCAGTCACTAAATACCATGAATTTATCTAATAATAACAAAGGTAGTCTATATCCACGAGATAGACTGATTCTTAAGAAATCAGTAACTTATTATAAAGAAATCAGCACCTTATAAATATAAAGAAGATATGGAATCTCTATTAATAATCTTATAATTCTTATAATTATTATAATATATTATTCTAATAACTTTTATCTTAATAATTTAATTATTTTATTATAAATAATATCTTTCTTTACTAGGATGAGCTACCTGGCTCAGATATTAAAAATAATCTTATATATTTCTAATTTAAAATAATAGAAATCTGATAATAAAAGATAGAGAATCCACAGGATATTTAATATAAATAAAATTATATACTAGTTTTATATAATTTTATTAGTATTTAGTTATATTTGCATGGGTAGATCTATTATTAAAAAATATAAATAAAAAAATTTTTTATATTATTTCTTTTTCTCTTCTTTTTTTATCCTGGGGTTATTATTTTTAAAATATTTTATTATTATTTTATTTATTCTTTATTGTTATTTCACGTGTTTTCTATTATTTTTATTATTATATATTAATTATTTAGTGATTAATTATCTTTTTATATTTATTTCATGAGTAGTTCAGATTTATATTATATTATTAATTTTAATTTTTATAATATAGGTAGTCGAGGGGTTACTTAAAATTATTATTATTATATATTAATAATTAAGAAGACACATGCTATTTATAAAATAATAATTAAGCTAAGATAATTATAGTATATATATTATTTTAAAATTTCTATTAAATAATTTAAACCAGATAAAATAAAAAATTAAATAGCTTTTAAAATTAATTATATTCTAAATAGGAAACAGTTGATCCTGTATTATTAATATTATAACTAATATAATAAATATAAAATAATATAGATTTATAGATTTTCTTTAATATACTTAAACTAATATAATTAAACTCTGGCAGGTATATGAAAAAATACTGTTAAATTAATTAAATTTTTTAACTAGTACTGTATTTATTTTTTTAACCAGTCTAAAGCTGCGGAAGATAAAAATTATATTAATTCTGATAATAAAATTCTTTATACTGTGAATAAATATATAATATATTTAAACAAAGTTTTTATATAAATAATAATTATTTATTATTATGATTATGTGATAGAATAACCTAGCTATCGGGATAAAAGTCATCGGGATGACGTATTATAGTGGTTATGAGAGTCGTGAGGTTATTAATAGTGGTTCCATACCTCTCCGGCATCTATAAGATACTGATTTCTCTGTAATAAACTACTAATTTCTCAAGAATCAGTTTATTTCGTGGATATAGACTATCTTTATTATTATTAGATAAATATATAATATTTAATAATTAATTTCTTATCTAGTTGACAGGCTTTCTATCTTAATAAATAGATTTTATTATATTCTGATTTTTCTACTTTAACTACCTAAGGAAGATGCTATTTATTAAAAATAATAAAAAAATAAAAGCATCCAATGATTAAACTAATCTAGAATTATTATTAGATATTATTCCCACTATTAAAGAAATTCAATAGCTAGAAGATTATATTTATTAATTAGAATAGACTATTAATTTGTAGTAGAAAATAATTTATTTTTAAAGAAATAATTTTTTAAATAAAATATTTTTAAGATACTACTGATTCTTCTTTAAATCAGATAAAGATAAGAAAGAGATTAAATTTAAAAATATTTTTTATTTTATTCTGAATTTTAATTTCCAAAAGTATTAGGAATAAATTACTAATTTAAAATATATATTTAGAGATACTTTTAAAAAGTATTTATCAGAGAAATATAAGATCTTTGCTATTATTAATTATATAGACTTATCCTGCAGGCAGAGATAGTACTATTTTATTAATAATAAAAATCTAGAAAAAAGATGATTTTTTAAGAAATTATAATTCTAATTCAAAGACTAGATCTTTATATTAATTTAAAATATTACTACTTTTTAATCTGATATTATGGCCTAATTAGAACAGGCTTACCAGTAATATAGCCAGAATCTGAGAGAGTTCTATATATATTTTAATATTTTAAAATAATATTTTTCTTATTAAGCAGAGAAAGAAAGAATTTTATTATATTTTATTAAATTATTTTTAGATTTAAACTATTATATTTAAGAATATATTCCATACTTACTAGAGAAGTAAAATAAAATAATAATTATTATTATTTATTATTATAAATTATAAAAGAATAGAGGAA